TGCTGTCTTGCATGGGTGGTGGAAAACCAAAGCTGAACAGAATATTCCGGGTCAGGCAAAGCTGCTCTCAACTGTTAAGACTCAGAATAAAGAGGTACACTGTTAAACTGCCAGTTCCCTTCACAGACTCACAGCCTTCCTCCTTTGATCATTTTAAGTCAGCTGAAGGAGAAAAATGTTTTGAAAAATGCGAGATTTCACATTCCACTCAATTCAGCCAAAGACCAAATATCTTTAATCAGTGCACGTGTCTGTAATGCAGAGGTTAGGAAGGACAAAAAGTCTTCTACCTTCACCTGCTAAGACTTTGATTATTGGTAATATTTTCTCCAGTGTCACTGGGAATCTTTTCAGAGCAGTTTGTTCAACAACCTTTCCTAGTTCTGAAGAGAGAGTTCCAATCGAACGTTACTGAGCTTTTACATGCCCAAGTCATTCTCTGTATGTGTTTCTTGAACAGGCGTTCTCCTTTGTAGGTCTGTATTTATACTACCTTATAGGTAGCTAACTCCTAATTTACTATGAACTTAAAAGGAGAATCATAATCCAGTTTCCAGTTAACAACAATAACATGAAATCATTTTGCAAATTGTTGAGTAAGCACAGAAACCCCACTGGAAATCATTCAGCTTTGCCCTGGGGAAATTGAAGCACCTCATTTTCAAGCCTACTGAAGACCACAGGCACCAACCCTCGTGCTGGGTGCTGCATGGAGGCTGCTGCTAATAGGTATGTCCATCCCTTGATCACAGGGGATGTAACAGATAAGGGAACAGAGCACAGACTTTTAATCAGGCAGCCAGGATCCTGGAGGAAATGAGTCTGAGCCTGTGTAATTCCTAGATAACCGAAAGCCTGACCTTGCTCTGTGAATCAGGCAAATGTCCCATTGACTCTGGTAAGAGGTTTTTGAAGAGATGGGTACAGGCAGGGTCTGACTCATCCTGTGCCAGAGGCAGGTAGCATTACACCATCTGAGCACTGTTAATATGACCAGAATATCCTCAATCTTTCCATGCAACATCTCAGTAATGTAAGTGATATATCATATATATAGATAAACTATATATAAACAACTGCACGGTCTGTGGTTATATTTTTATAGAGGGAGTTTCTGGTGATTATAAATTAAGACACCAATTCTCGTATTACCAAGATCTAAAGATAAAAATATCACTAGATAACAAATGCAAATATTGCATGTATTTCATTTTCATGATGCTTGAATGCTGACAAAAATCACTAGCAGCTCATTATTTCCCTAAGTATTTTAACAATCTTAAAATAAGGCTTCTTTTATTCCATTTTATGCTTTTGTTGAGCTGATCCTCTTTTAGAGAAATATATGGAGCAGTCCCTGGCAAGATTCGTTGTACTGCGAACTGTGACAATCTTGCCATGCAAATACACGTGTTCCTCATCAAAGTGTTTTTTTTTCCTTTGGGTAGAGAGAAATTTTATGCAGGGATAAAAGCAGAATAGCTAAATTTGTGCCCAAATTTGGCTTGCATTTTTACTTATTTATAAGAAAAACATGAACAACGGTGCCATTGTTTTCTTCTATATTACAGGTAGCTGTAATTAAATGGGAAAGTTCACCAAAATTTCAAGGTTTCCCTTCAGGATACTCCACATGATTAGGAAAGTGCTTGAGTCAGGTCCCTAGATTTTTGCTCTGGGAAATAACATGATTTAGCTGTGTGATAAAAATTTGTGACCTGTCAGTGGGTCACCTAAAGTGTCATTTACAGCCTGCTCACCCTCTTAGCTGTCCCAAAGATGTTCTAGCTTTCTTCTGCCAGGGCAATACCAGGAATAAACTGACCCTCACAAGATCAGAAAGGTTCAGTGTGTGAAGTGCTGAGGGAGAGAGGGCACCTATTTGAAAGTCAGAAACCAAAATGGCATCTTCAAGTGGAAACAATCACATTTCCTTTGGGCAAAGTGGCAGGAGCCAGCAAAGACCTTCAGAAAAAGAGAGCTCAGTGGTTTCAGTAGCATAAATAAAGCCCTGGACAAGAGATAACATCATTACAATTACCTAGCAAACCATATTCTAAATGGAGTAGTAATTTCCTATGGGTCTAATGTACCGATACACTCTGGAATGTAGCCAGGTGCAAATTCTCCCCATTTCTTCAGTCGATTTCCTGGTGGTTCACCTACACCGACACTTGAAATATAGAGATGAATGGGAAGGGTTGCATGGATAATGTGGCTCAATGGCTGTCTGAGGAGCATGACTAAGATGTAATGCCTTGTCCTGCCTCTCTGAGCCAAGCCCATGAAAGCGTGTCAGTCCACCCTGGCAGCCTTGCCAGTGTGGCTGCAGCTGAGCTGACTGGGAGTAACGGGAGAAATAATCTGATATAAGCGAGGGCAGCTGCTTTTCATGGGCTCAGCATGTGCAAGGAGCATCGACAGCACCACAGAGCTCAGGGGTTTGCAGCTGGTGACCAGCATGGTCCACTAACCTGGACTCTCCTCTCCACACTGGCTAACCCAGCAGCAGGGCACTGTGTCTGGCTGCTCATCCCCCTGAGGGGCAGAGGACTAGCAAAGAGATGACGTGTGCAAC